CTATATGGCAGCATCACATGTAAGAGCTTACCTTGCCCAAGTGGGAGGCAAATGCTCAATAGGTATGCAAATCCAGAGAAACAGCTTTCTTTATATCGTTTGTTTGCAGAGACCTGCATGGTGCCAGCACATGGACATGAGGAGGATTTAGCATTGGCAGTAAGAGGAGACACAGTAAAGGGAATCCTCAACATGTTTTTCTTTCCCTCTGTCCTTGTTATCAACTATAGGATAAATGCAAGCACTTTGAGTTACTTTTGTTTGCAGACTGTGATGTTTGACAGCAACTAGGAATAGTTCCTCTCATATGGACTGTTTGTTTTGCTTGTCTAACAGGAAACGGGCGAGCGCCTGACTTCTAACAGAAAGGTATTAGTTAACCCAGCAATTATGTGTCTCCTAACTACTGCTTGGTATTTAAAGAGATTGTTTGGTGTTGAGGAAAACAGGTACGTACATATGCGCACGCTTATTTCCCTGTCCCTTGCTTCAGTACTGCCCCAACTTTGAGGTTTGCTCCATGCCACAGATGGGCCTCCTGTCCTTTGTTTCAGATATGCTTCAGATACGGGGTGGATGAGGCCTCAGATGTGTGGGTAGGATGCTGTGGATCCAAAGCTGCTGCAGAACCTAGAAGAGCTGAAGGAAAGCCAGACTCAGAGCCAGGAGCTGACAAATACCTTGTCCAGGTAATAGCTGCTCTAAACTGCGCTGTTTTTCAATTATTTGCATATGCCCGGAGTGCATTTCAATGAGAATGAGATCAAATTTCTGGAGATGCTTTTGCACCTCCAATCCAGAGGGCAGGGATTTGTGTCTGCACGGGGTGGCATTTTTTCTTTCAAGCAGCCGAGTAACTTGAGACTTCCTCCTTCCATAGCTGATCCAAACGTGCCACCTACTGCTTGTTGAAAGGCAGACATGCTGTAGCCAGTAAAAGTGGTGCAAACCTTAACCGAACTAGATGCAATGCGCCTTTGCACTGCAAAGCCAGCTGGAGAACCTGGCCGTCACAGGTTCATCTGCTCTCCACCATCATAGAAGAATCATCCTACAGCACAGTGCTTCAGACCTGCAAATGTCAGTGAGCAGCAAGGCCAAAGCCTGGACAGGAGGAGGAAGCAGTCATAGAGTAGGGTGGGGGTCAGTGGGGACAGGAAAAACTGGTGTTAAAACGATACTGGGATTGCAGGGAATGCTCATTGGCTATTTCACAGCCATAGCACAGGGGGTCTCTGAAGAGGAAGCCGTGTCTCTGTAGAGGGTAACTTAAGGAATGAGGGTAACTTAAGGACAGTTGAGGTTGGCAGGGCCCTGTGGGTCCATGTGGCACAAGCCCTACTCCAGGAGGACAGCCAGCACATGGCGCCCAGCATTTTCCTTGTTGGACCTCATGCCATCGCTGATCAATCAGACCCCTTATCTTTCTATCTAGACCCCCCCTAGGCCTCTCCTAGTGTCGTGCATGCCACTGACAGCACTGCAGCGTGGGGAAAGATCTGCTCCTGCTCCCCTGTCGCCTCTCCTTGCAGGCTTCGGCCCTGGCGTGCTGCTGAGGGAGGGTGGCCATGTCGGGCCTGTGGGCTGGGATGCCAGGTGCCCCAGGACCGTCTCGCTTGTAGGAGGCCCGGCTGGCTTTGGCGATGCAACTGGGGTGCCCTTCTGTGGCAAAGATAGAGAATTGCAACTCTCTTTCAGGCTCCTTTGTGCAAACACTTCACCACGTGGGTTTGCCCTGGGCAGGAGAGCCACAGGCTGAGCTCCCTGGAAGGGCTGAGAGATGGCAGATGCCCGCAGAGAGGGGAGGAAAGAAGGAGTTAAAGCACAGAGGGAGGGACGAGGCTACAGCTAGCAGATGTCTGGGGCTGAAAAGTAGGTCACCTATTTCTGCCAGGGGGGGTGGGATTTGAAAATCGACATCGATGTGCAAACAAAGCCGAGTAGCACATCAAGGAATAGAACTGGAGGCTGCAGCCTGGCAGAGATCCTCTGAGGACACCGGGCTGCTCTAACACATTGGGAACAGCTATTAATTAAGATTATCTTTTCAAAAATTACTGTATCTGTATGCACACATATAATTGTTGTTGATGCCTTCGCCCTGGAGTCCATAGGCTGTCACTCCTGAGGTTGTGGTCCTTGCTGTGCATGTCTCTCTCTTTCCTAATGTAGAAAGGGTTAAGTACTACTGTCTAAGCAGGTCAGGAGGTATCTGTAAGGCATCCTCTGTCTCAGAGGTTGGAACTGTATGTAGCTAAAAGTGATCACTTACACATTTGAGGAACCTAATCCAGGCACTCCTGATCACGTACGTGCACCACACAGCTGGGGACAGCAGGATGGAAGAGACAGGAAGAGACGGGGTGAAACAAAGCAAGTTAATCCACAGAAAGTGGAGTTCTCTGGACAGTTCAGGATGGCATAATTTGGTAGTGATTTAGTGTTCCTAATTTATCCATAAAAAAAATTAATTTGAGGAAGAATTCAGACTGACATAAAAGCAGCTGCTCTGATCAGTTCAGATTCAATCTGCCTAGGTCTCTCTCACATACTAATTGCTCCTGACACACCATTAGCATAGATGTATTTGGCTCACTGCAACACAAGAGAACATTCAGGCTTAAAAAATAAATCTAAAAGACTCATTACTTCGTACAATTTGTTCAGCAAAAAATGTATTTCTTAGCTTCCTTTATACATTTATACTGTACATTTATCAGCAGCTCGGACATCAGCGAGACACTTTTGAAATAGTTTAAATGCTGCAGAAGACACAGATGTCCAAGCAACTACTAAAAATTATAGTAGTTTGGGAGGGATCCAACACAGAACAGGTACAAAGCACCCCTTAGTGCAGAATATTCCATGGCTAATTTTAAAACTTTTGTCCATTTATGTACTTCATTGATGTTTTCTCTGTTCCTTCCTACCTGGAACAAGGCAGTGAAATACAGAGCCAGACTCTGGCTTTACTGTTGCAGTATTTAAACCACCAGACCAGATTTAATCTTAATTAGTTTAGGGCTGATACGCTGGTTTCTATAGTGGAAAGGGACAAAAGAGGGGAGAGAGAACGTTCACAGCAAAAATGACATGGAACTGATGAGATGATGATTCCCTTGTTCACAAGTATCCTTGAGTGAGCCAGCCTATTTTGATCATCTCTCAGTCCTGTGCTTCAGTTTCACAGAAATATAGAATCAGTAGTTACTAGGCAGTTACATCTCAGCTGGTTGGGAAGTGATCCAATCTGCGTGCCTTTATTTTCCTAAGAGAAATACCATGGAGGTAATTTCTCCACCTTGTTTTTCTTCTGTGCTTGCTTAATCAGCTTAGCTATTAAAAGATAACAAGGGCTTAGGACTATCATTAGCATGGAGTGGTCATGTGGTTGTACTGGTAATTAGCACTGCTGTTGAACTCAGCATTGCTTAATAGGTAACTATAAAAACAATACCACGACACTGCTACAGAAGCAAGTGAAGTCCCTCTCTTCTTGAATCTGCATCCATTTGTTTAGCAGCTTTCTTGTCTTATCTTTTGTGACATTAGGATCTATATTCAAATCATTTAACTGCTTGAAATGGGATTAAGACCCTACAGTCTGAAATTGCACTCCTGAGATACTTCTGCTGAGCTGCCCTGTAAGTTTTCAGGTACCAAAAGCCCCTGGGAGGGCCCTGAGAGGACCAGGTATCTCCAATCTGAATCCAAACACAGGAATCCTGTACTGCTTGGACTGTATCCCCAAGAGTGCCGTTCGGTCAATATCCTGAGCCTTGGGCATCCTCCAAAGGTACTGGGCTCTTCACAACTCTGTCCTTGGTTGCATTTGCTTTTGAAGCACTGCCAGAGGAAGAAGAAATGAAGATGGGTGCTCCTCATACACAACACTCTAGGGTTAAGCTCACCCAGTGGAGGCTGCAGGGTAACAGTCTCCCATTCCCTTCTTTGCCCCCAGACATTAACAGATTGCTTCAAAGAGCTAAAGAACATTGAAAACCATAACCTTGGGGGGTGGGAAGCGAGAGGGGGATATGCTAGGAAATCCTGTATCAATCTATTTAGTATCTGTATTATATCTAGCTCTGGAAGTAATGGATTCACAGATCTTCCGGAAAAAATATCCTACACCTGGTTAGTGTGCATCACAATTCTATAACAATAATGCTCTGTTGGAAGGCAGAGTGCGAAAAACTAGGATGCAAGCAGAAAAGAAACATTGAAGTGATACTGTGGAGAGGATTTTGGTGTAAAGCAAAGCAAGGATCCAAGAAGTATAAAGCCTTCAAAGTAAGAAAATTTGTGCAGTTAGTGGCATCATGCAATTGCTTGCTTCTGCAAAGCCTTGGCTTTGCTCAGCAAAGAAGTTATTTGGAGCATGCCATTGGGCCAAGAGGTCTGTGTTAATTGGAAAGAAAAAGAATTTGTGACAGTGGCACTGCCAGGGCGTTTGCCTAACTGATGAGCTACTTTGTGATTCACAGCCAGGAAGGCCAACCTTCTGGGCCTCTGGTTTTACTTCCCCATTTAATTATTTGTCAGAAAAAGGGCCATCTCCTTTTAATGATTTGTATGATGCATAAAACAGTGAAGTCTTTGGCTCTGCTGCCTTAATACAAATGCACATTGCATGTGGTTTGTTTACAAGAGCCTTCCAAACTAAAAATGAAGCAAGAAGCTATGAACTACACAAGTATGTTAAGATAATCCTGTGATATTTTGAGGCAAGAAGTTGCAGCAAGCACAGATGAAATCCTGCAGTAACTTAATGCAAAACTGCATTTCTTCTTTCCATACAGTATATCCCATGCATTATCTGCTGCTCTGCAAATTTTCCTGTTAGCAGAGAGAAGACAAGGATGAATACCACTAGGACTATCAGGAAGCAGAAGATAAAAGTTCAAGCTTTACATTTTATATCTGGAGCTTCAGATCCTGGAGGGAAAATTCCAGGCTTTTCGTGTTGAAATAATGGGCTTTCATGACTGTAGACTGCATCAAGACACACATCCTTAGCAGATTTTATTTATGGGCAGTTTTGGTCAGACCATGCCTGTGTGGATGTCCATACATCCTTCAAGGTTAATCTGTAAGCACATTGACCAAATTCAACTAAATGAAGAAGGGTTGAAATCTCAACAGTAAATTTGTACGTATTTTCTGGAGACTGATGTGGAGGGGCAAAACAGAGTCCAAACGCAAAGTCCAAGAGCACCACAATGGCAGACTGGTTTGCAGGTCTTTTTGGGTTCAACACGGCCCTCGCTGTCTCCTGTCAAAAGAGTATAGGTGGGGGAAAGTGTTACAGGAGATAAGGAACTGAAATCACTATGGGAGGGGAAAACATAGGGGACAGAGTACACGTTGGTTGGAAAATATACTTATTTCTGCAGCTTACAGTACAACTAATTTTATTACCAGGGCCTGATACGTGGTGTCTGGTGTTAATAATTAATATAATTATGTCTTCCCCTGCTCCCCACCATTTCTAATGAACAGTGTTTGCTTTTTAGCTTTCCTCCACACATTTCTTTATAGTTAGGCCTCTTGCCTCAGGAACCTTCTCACCTCTGTTGCCTTCCATGATCTCAAAACTGCTCTTTACCATCACGGGGGATGGCACGGAGGTCCCATCCCAGTCCCCAGCAGCTTTTCCTTAGAAATGCTAATAGGATCTGCGTTGGAAATGAGATTAGAAGACTGAACTTGAACATTTTGTTTTAACTAAATGGATTAACTCGTGGGTTTGTACAGCCAAGCATTCACGCTCCCCCTCAGCAGCAAAACCATGAAGTCGTTGTTCAGAAATGCTTCTTCCCTCTTCTTAAAGCTACTTAGTTTTCACAATGCTAATAAGCACTTGGGCTAAATCATTAACATTCCTCAAAGTTTTGATTTGTTTTTTTTTTTCTCAGCCTATGAGGAGGATAAAGGGTTTTGTTAGGGTTACATTTAAATCAGAGGTGTTTGCGGCTCAGCTGGCCTTGCTCTATAACCGTTGCTTTTGGGACCAAAAGGAGCAGGCTGCCTTGCACTAAGGTTTGAGTCCGGCTTACTGATGCCGAGCTTACTGCCTTGTATCAAATGAGCACGAAAAAAACGTGAGGAGACTTGAAGTGCTGCTGCTTTTGCCTTAGACTTAGCCGTAGATCCCACAACGAACACCGCGATCTCCACGCTGCGTTTTACACTGGGGTTAAAAGACACACTCAAGGCAGGGCTGAAGAGACTCGAGGAAAGAAAACAGCCCCTCCGCTGGAGAATGCGGGCATCGATCCCGCTACCTCTCGCATGCTAAGCGAGCGCTCTACCATTTGAGCTAATTCCCCCATGCGCAGCTCCCATTCTGTGCGCGTCCCCTCACAGCCTCACCCCGCCCCCCCTTCCCCACGCACCCTGCGCTTGTTGTCAGGCAGTTTGGCGCCCGTGCATCGCCTCGGGGGGCGTGGCTCTGCGTCCCGGCCAATGCCGAGGAGCGGGGGGCTAGGCCGAAGGGAGAGCGCCACCAGAGGCCCCTCCCGCCGAGGCCGCCTGCCGGCTCCGAGCGCCTCGGCTCCGGATTGGACCGAAAGAGTTTATTATTTTTTAAGAGGCCTTCGCTCTTCCGATTGGGCAATGGAAACGCCTGTCACGGTGACGTTCCCCTGTTGCTAAGTCGGGAAGGTGGGAAGAGAAATGCGCCCTTCTCGTGCGCCGACTGGCTAGCAGGAAATCGACGGCCCACCCCCATCCCCTTTTAAGCCCATAGCAGCGTTCCGACTGGGTGACTGACAGCGAGGAAACTGCCAATGAGAGGCCGAACCGCGCGCACCGCCCAATAGCAAAGGCGCGGGGCGGTGCCGGGACGGTATGATTGGCAGGCGGGGCGGAGGGAGAGGAGGGCTCGCAGGCGCTGATATGTCCGCCATCTTGGAGCGTCGGTGATGGTGGCGAGCGGTGGCTTTCCCGCCTGAGCGGAGGCAGCCCGGGGCCTGTGGCGGGGTGACGCTCTTGCCGAGGTACGTCGGGTACAGCGGCGCCGCGGCCTTCTTCCGGCGGAGCTCCGGAGGGCCGACGTCTCGCTCGGGGCCCTTCCGCGGCGGTGCGGGCCCGGCGCCTTCCCCCTTCGTGCGGTGGCTCCGGGCGCTCCTCGGGTGGCGCGGGGCCGGAGCCCGGAGTCCGGCGGAGCCGCGTGGCCCGGCGGCTGTCGGCGAGCTCCTCGCGCGCGGAGCCCTGAGCCCGGGCCGCGTTGGGCCGCGGGTGTGGGGTGCCGCCGGCATGGGCGCGGCGGGGAGGGCCCAGGGCCGCGGCCTCGGGCCCTTCGGTGGGGATCGGAGCTGCTGGGCGCCGTGGAGGGGTCGTGCTGGCTTGGAGCCGCCTTTGGGCGCCGAGCGCCGCCGGCTGGGGCGGAGCGGGGCGCGGCGCCGCGCGGTACGGTGCGGTGCGGTGCTCCCCGGGCAGGCCGAGTGGTGTGGGGATCCGTATGCTGCTCCCCGCCGCCTGCAGTCACTTGTGTGGCTGCCGGTTACCGAACTTCTCTACTGTGTCTCGGTGATAAGCCGGCTTTACCTCACTGGCAGCTCGTTTTGCTTTTACTTTCCTACTTTCCTTCTTTAAAATCACTGCCACTGTATTCCTGTGAGGGTGCTTTTTTTTTTCTTTTTTTTTTTCTTTTTTTTTTTTTTTTAACTGTTATTCTTTTTTGTTAGAATTTTGCTGAGAGCGTGGCAGTGTTGGTTTACCTGTTGCTAAATACACCTGGCAAAATCTAACACTGAACCTGCTGCTTGTTTTTGTTTTGCTTTAATAGTTACAAACTTCTCTAAGCGTAAGGGGGAGTTGGTGTTACAGCCTTGTGACATAAGCGCAGGTGGAGCTGAGGTCAGGGGATTCTCTCCACCAATGTGACATAAGAAGCAGCAGCCTATGCAGAGCATCCCGAAGTTCTGAGCAGAGGAATACAGAAAGCGTAGGGGTGATATAAAAGCCTTAGGAAATCTTCCTGGAGAGTGGTTGACTGCTTAAAAATGAGAGGTCATATCACAGGTTGTGGTACTTTTTATATAGACAGTCTCTTTCAGTGGGAGGGAAGTAAAGGCACTCCTAGCTGTATAAGTCTGAGGGTGGATTTTTTTTTTAAATGCTGAATGTTAGGCTGGTTTAAAACTTCCAGTTCATACATACTGCGTGTGTGAACTGCACAAATACCCAGCACCCTTCTTTTTGTTCTTTGTGAGCTGCTTAAATACCTTATTTCAGTGATCTTGCTGGAATACTGAAGTTTGATAAACTGCAACATGTTTTCAGTACGGCACATTTTCATGTGAGAGTCTGATTGCTCAGCTCTGTGTTACCTCTTTGTGCTCCGATTGGGAGGCATGGACTAACTGTAGCTTGCAGGAGTCTTTATTATGCAAATCTAAAAGAACAATACAGAATTATGTTTCCAATATACAACTTGTTAATGAGACCCCATGCAGATGGGGTATGCAGTCAGCATGTTAAGTTCTGAACAGTTTGTAATCTTAAGTACTTCTGCAAAGGCGCTGAAATGATGAGTTTCATCTATCTGTGATATTGCTTTAACACAGATGAGGTTTTATTTCCTTATTGTGGGAAATGCACATGCAGTATCAGATCCCACACTTCTGAGTTAGTAACGGAATTTATCTTCCAAGTAGACCTTGTTTTGGCCAGAAGACCTGCTGGAGGGTTCTGTTTGCAGCATAATTGAGGAAATCACTGTTTCACATATATTTGCAGTTTAGGAATTCAGTAATTCTTTAAGCAGGGTGTTGCATTATCACTTCTTTGCAAGCAAGTTAGATTCATACATAAACTGCAGTGCTTGTTATGTTTCTGGATTCTCTTAAATATAAGCTGTTAACATTCCGTTATGGAATCAAGCATATTACATAGATTGTGTGCATCTTTACAGTACTGCTTGCAAACTGCTCACTGAGCTTCTGTTGATTTGGTGAAGTGAGGAAATCTGTTTCCTTCCAAACGCTTATTTCATGCCCCTAGCAGAGGTGATGCTGTAGATGGATATCAACCAGAGTGGGTCAGCTGATGATCTCAGGGTGAAATTCAAGTAACTTGAATAGAAATTCTGCAGTGCTATAGCAGAAAATTCTGTGTGTAACGTTAATATGGTTAGAGAGTGAACTCTAGTGTTGTGGTTCAGCAGCTTTGCTTCTCTGCTCAGCTGAAGCTTGAAGTGCTCGTACTGTGCTGCGCTACACAGCTGGCTCCAAGCAACCTTTATGTGACTGAGACCTTAGGGGAGCCACGCTTTGGGCTCTCTGGTCGGGTTCCCTTTCTCTCAACTGATGATGTCCTCTTTTGTCCAAGTGCTTGAAAGGCTTTGTAGTGTTAATTTAGCTCTGCAGATAGTTAAGCAGATCACTTTGTATTGCTGTATTGAAATATTTCATCTTCTAGCTTCAGAGTTGCTGCACTGAACACAGTATCTTTGTAGCAGTAGACTTGTGTGTTCATTTCTCACTTATAAGTAGGTTTATTGATAGTTGTGATGGAACTACAGCTTCTGTGGGCAGAGGAGGTCCATTTCCACAGTAAGATAGGATGTCACAAGCGTAATGTGTGGCATCAAGTTCTGGCTGTCATAGTGGAGTTTTCATTTGTGACCCTCAAGGTTTCCCTATACATTACATGCCAGGTTGAGGATGGTGTGTTTCTCAAAGTAGGCACTGCATCCGATTTCACACAGGAAAATACATCTGATAGCATTTCTCTAGAGCAAGACATGGAGCCATGAGTTTTGGCAAAGGTTCCTACAGTAATAAAACACATAGGGATAGATCAAAAATAATATCTTGCTTGTCTGGACTGATTTCTTCTAGTAGGAGGAGAAGAGCAAAGGACTCAAAGTAATGTAGTGATTGAGTTCAATTCTCATATTCTAGGGTGGGAGGGAAGTCTGGAGGATGAACCAGAAAGTGCCGAGAGTGGACGAATGCTGAAAGCTTTGCGTATCGTGTGTAAGCATTTTGGTGATGTGTCAATGTTCCGGCATCTGTTGTAGAAACCATATGCTACTAAGCAACTGAAGTAAAATGTTTTTCTACTCTTGGGTATTACATACAGCTCTGTAGCTGGTTTGGGACGTTTTTCAGGAATCTAGATGGGCTTAATGGATCCGATCGGGATGACACTGGGTGTAAACTGCTAACAGCTTGCTTGTGGCCCTTCTGGAGCGTTTTGGTAACGGTTCTTCACACTAAACTGGGAAGAAAAAAATCTTATTGATTTTTTTTTAAAAAAAAATTATTATTTTTATTTTTTTTTTACTCAGATTTTGTCCTGAGCTGTGTTTATTTCATAACTTCCCTTTGGTGTTGAGAAGCATATATGGAGTGTGGGATGAAAAAAGTTCCTGCAGCATATCAACCCCCTCGGCTGTTGTTTCTTTTTGCTGTTTCCCCAGGATCATAGAATTGTTATGGTTAGAAAAGACCTGTAAGATCATCTAGTCCAACAGTAGGTAGCCCCATGTGGTCCTTCCCTAATCCTGTTAAGCGGACCTATCAGTTCCTCTCCTGTGGGGCTTAAAAAGCCTGGAGCACTCAGTGACAGGATCTGTGCCACGTGCCCTGTACCTGCAGCAGGAGGGAATACCTGAAGGACTTCAATATGCAGCTGTGTGGACTGTGAAGCTGTGGTATGTGATATGGCAGTGTATGTTGTCTCTGCCTCTGTAGCTGAGCAGACTGAAAATATCCTCTTGACAATGCTGGGAATCTGTTGTTACACAGGAGCGAGGGGCTGAGTAAAACACTGGAGTTTTTGGGGTATGTTGGCAAAGTGGGTAAGGAGAGAATGTATGAGATGGATAAGGAGGATTTGATTAAGATTGAACTATGGTATGAAGGGCAGCAGATTTTAATTTAAAAACAAAAAAGCTACATGTACACAAAAGCAGAAACTGCCTGATGCTGAGACTTGTGGGTTGGTTTCCTTGGAGAAATGCCTAAGAACTTTCCTATTTAATTTTGGATGAGGTGATTCCAAGCATTCATACGTACACTGCTACGCTTCTGTGGGGAGGTGGACTGTGTGGCCTCATGGTCTCTCTTCTGTGTCCATTTGGTCTTCTGGAGGCTGGCTCCTGGTGGTTGCACCAAACGATACTTGTGAAAGCATGGAAAACTCTGAAGCCTTTTTATGGAGACTCTGGTCCTGGTGAGGCTCTGTGGAAGGGCCGCCTGAAGCTTGATAACAAAACCCAGTTGTGATTGAGAATGCAAACTTTCCAACCAGTGGTTATTTGTAACAAAGTTATTAAATGTGTTCCAGGCTATAGCAAATACTGTGTTAAAAGCATTCACCTTGTTAGCAGCTCTCAAGTGAATCCTAGGGGCTTTTATCCCTGCTGCACAGTGGTGCTGCCCTCACCTTCAGTTTGAGCCATGTGAGAGCAGAAAGCAGGGGAGCAGTGGATGTTCCTGGGTCTGGCTTGCCACAGATCACTGTTATTTCGATGGTACTTATGCTGTGAGAGGGTGGATTTCTGCATCCTATACCAGAGTACTTACACGGTTAGCATTTCTGTGACACAAACTGAAAATAGAGGTCTTGATGCTTGGTTTACTGCTTGTTGGCTTTCGTGGGGGTGTGTGTGTAAGTAGTGGAAGCAAACTCTTCCTAACTGGAATTTACAGTCGGATAGAAGACAAGGCAAGGTCTTGGTGGAAAACAGCAACAAAAAGGCAAAATTCTCTTTCTTATGAAATGCTTTGTAATCTTACCTTTAGCGTACGTGTAGGGCTGTCTTGGTGTTCCCTTCATAGTGATGAGGTGGTTCTTTAATCTGTCTTCTATTTAAAATGCTTAGCCTTTTGTCGCTGCCTTGACAGACTTGCCATGTAGCCTGCAATTAGCAAGCTAGCCCATCAGGAATACCTAGTGAATTACATTTGTTTGACAAGTTCAGCTGCTGGCACCAAGCATCTTGGGGAGGGGATGGAAATAAAGATGGAAAGTCTAGAGACAACAC